CACAAATATAATTATACGAAAATCTTAAAAATAATATAATTTCAAAATCGAAAGTCCAAAGTCCATAGTCAAAGTCCAAAGTCCAAAGTCCATAGTCCAAAGTCCAAAGTCCATAGTCCATAGTCCATAGTCCATAGTCCAAAGTCCAGTCCAGTGTTTACAATATGCCTGTTAACAAGTGCAATTTTTGGCGAGAAACCATAACATCCTAACATCTATTTGCGCATGCATGCATGAAATGAATTACTGTCTCACTCAGAATCAAATTTTATTGATCATTCTAAAAATTGACCTGTTATAGCAACCAAAACAACATCTGATAATCTGGCAGACTGTCTAGCTAAATCTGACTCGTCCCCAGTCTTCTCTAAAGGTCTTGGAAATAGAGCTCGAGAAATTACTTGAAAATTTAAAACAAAAATGTAAAAGTCAAAGAAATACCAACAGCGAGTGAGATTTGAGATATTGCGAGACACACGCAAATGCGAGCGCGTGGTCAGTAGCTAAATCATGAAACATTCAAATTCTTTGAGTGGTCATCTTCAACCAGACGATTTTTGTGAATAGAAGATTTCTTAATTATCTAGTTTTTGACAATTAGTATATTATTTGTTATTTTTTTTTATATAATTGCTTTTCCTATGGCAACAATGACGTTTCGAAATAAAAAAGTAGTCAAGGACGCGGATTTTATTTTCGAGTTAATTTATATTACTTTAAACCTCAAATATCAGTCGTGTTGCAAGTCATGTTGAAGGCAAGTATGCGGCATGGAACGAGACAAGAAGCAGCTGCTTTAAATTTACACTAGCTTTTAGGGTTAGGGTTATAGGCTAATCAAAAACTATGCCTACCGTTATTAGGACTATATCTTAAGAAACCGGACAAAAATACTATTCTGAACACAATGAAATTCAATCATACTGGAGGAAAGAAAGAAATAATGAAAATCCCGCAAGATTTTGGCCTTGGACGTCATCCTCGCTCTTTTTGCAATGGCAAATCACATATTATCATGTCTTGCAATGCCACGGCTACATTTCAAGCTGCGACAAATGCAACTTCAAATTAGTCATAGAACCTCTCTCAACCGTATAGCCCTGTTAAACTGTATTAATTTCATACGATGGATAACAGACAACAGGTTTTCTTCACAATTATTCAGTGCAACGAGTTTTTTTGCCGTCATTGTCGCGTTGCCGTCCTGCGTACGTGTTAAAGTCTAGCCTGTGTTCCAGTCCACTACACCGTTGTGTGTGGACTGGAACACAGGCTAGTTAAGGTCCCTATTGTTGCCCTAGCAACGGCAGTTATTTATTTTCACGGAACTGCCAAAATTCGTTTAGGACACCTCCCAATACTTTTTGAGTTAATTAAAAGGTTGGTCAAAATGGAAAATATTTGCTCAAAATAGTTGGTCACTTGTTGTTCAGTTTCAAATTGTTTTACATTGTATACATATATATAAATTCTGGTAGTAATAAAAAATGCAAAGAAAAGAAGTATTTTGAATCGCGCGAACTCTTCACCTAGTTAAAAAACCACTTCATGCACATTCCGTTTTTCCATCACAGATTTGATTCACGAATTTGATTCAGACAAAGAGTCAGAACTTTGAAAAGTTGGACACTGAAATGTTCGCCAAAACTTGGCCAAAATATCAGGACACACCCCCAATGTTAATGACTACGCGACGTCCCTGTATCAACTGTCTTCAATCAAAGACCGCATTCTAGAACTGTCTGACTGTCGGATCAGACATTAGTGATCATTCCAGTTAAATTGGTCGAAACTCGTGTAACTCCGTGCTACATGAAACGAAAGTACAGACATAGACATAGTTGTGAGTTGTTAATTAGTTTACAAGTTCGCTCTTGAATGTTTTTGAAAAGTTTTCACGCCGATTTTAACAACAAAAGCAAATTTATGAAACGTTCTTTGAATTCACTGCATCATATCAGTTTTCAATTCTTAAAATTTTGACCAAATATCTTATATTTTCATCACAAACAAATAAGGCAGGCAGAAACCACACGCGTTCGTGACACACATATACACAGATTTTGCTGATATAAAATAGACTTTTTATTACGTCAGCAATTTCAACGCCTATAGACATAGTGCCATACTCTACACTATAGCCGCGTCGCTTTTGGTGCTACTATTTCTCGTGTTTCCTTCTGTGAATTTTTAAACTTTGTACAATTGTCAGCCAAGACGAGCAGTAGTCATGTATATTACCTATGGTCATGCAAACACATTCAAATAGTTTTAATTAAACTCCCCCAATTCGTAGCTCTTCACTCCTCCCAATATTTTCAAATTGGAATAGCTAGGAGGCGAAACTTGGGAAGGCAGAATGTTAACGATTTCACTGTCAGTTTTGGTTTTTTGGGTATCGCATACACTCGGTAGAACATTAATATAATAGTATGTTAACAAATACCATTTTAATTAAATAAGAGAACAAACATAATCTTGTGGATTTAATAACGGAAATCCTAATCCTAAAATTTCTAATCATATATTTTGTAATCTCTTGCATTATGTGTTGACTGAAACGAAATTATTCTAAATGGTGTATATATATGTGAATCGAAACATGTATTTGATCATGAATTTCATTTTGGGCATCCCACTCTGCCAAACAGCAAGAAACGTCAACGATCTGTCCGTGGGCGAATTAATTTGCATTTTCACTCCGTTCCCTCGTTGTTCCATGTTCCGATATCAGTTTTCTTCCACTCGAAATCCAATCTAAGCCCTGAAAGAATATACAGAATTTTGCATATCGACATATTGTTTTCATTTTTTACAAGATTTCTCCTATTCCAGAATGCATGTTTGAAAACATGTTGCCATCCCCGGCCTTGAAAAATTAAACAAGTTTATATATAGAAACAAGTATAGAAAGACAGTCAGAGAAGTCATTGAAGGTCATCATTCTCAATGTAAGATTGACGAAGTTATTCAAAACATGTCATGTCAAATACAACCGAAAATGAAGATTTGTCGGTTTAAAAATAGCTAGAACAGCAAGGACAAAACAGAATTTCATCAAGTTGTTGTAATGAAGTTTATAAGCAAAATATAAAAATATATTAATTTTGACCTGTGAACCAGTACAAAATCACCAATGATCATATCCTGGCCTTAACTCATTCGCTTCATTATCATGTATCAAACTATATCAAATTCATTGTGCCCTATGGCTTGGCAGAAATTAGAAGTTTGTTTTGTCTGTTGAGTTGAACGAACCCGCTTGGTAATTTGATCAATTAGAAGAAGAGTAAAAATAATAACTCTTTCTCAACTATAGTGTCCGTATAGTTATATCCGTTGCGTGCGTTCTCACGCATAATTTTTTTGCCAACGTGCATGTGTGTGAGTAAGACAGATAATATAAAGCTCTGGGGTGGATGTGATGTTAGTTAATAAAGGGGAACTCAAATAAATCTTGGCTACGTGATTCGCCGGGTATTTATTAAAAGGCCTCACCCCTGACCCCCTTGACGTCAAAGGGTTGAACCAAACAAAGAGTTATAATGATACGTTTCCTGTTATTACTTCAACAACACAATGATATCGTGCCGCATAGTGATGCCAATTTGAGATAATTTTATATCGTCCACTGTCATCCCACTGTCTGCAGCCAGAAATTTACCTATATATAACATTGTCTCTTTGCAAACAAAGCGGTTTTGATGAAGACAGGAAGATTATAGCAATCGCACGGAATTTATATAAACCCACCGGCATGGACAAGAAATCAATTTTCCGGCTGTGTTCTTGATGTAGCACCACCTTGAAAACAAGACTGATATGAAACAAGTATACTTTTAGTAACACTTCCAATGTCTCAAGATTCAGATAAAACAAAAACGAAATAACAATGCAAGTTTGCCCAGCCAATATCACTCGTTATCCTTCAACACTTTTCTTCCTTTTCGTTTTTCTGCCGATTGACATATGTCGATTTTTGTGGTCAAAAATCTTGTGAATAGAAAATCAGTTTTGTAACATCTATACTTGGAAAAACCTGAAGAAAAAAACTTTCTTTTCTTCTGATCAATACATATATGATGTATGCCGCTTAATTTATTTTTGACAAAAAAATTGTATTAGTCATGGCTTGTTCATTCAAATTGCGATGCACACGCCTGATAATATACACAGCATCCGTAGCATTGCCGATTTAATTAACTTCCACTTATACTGTCTCAGTTTGAAACAATGATCCGTGTCACAAACAAGTAAAATTGTCAGCCAAGACAAGTAGTCAAGCACATTGAAGAAATTGTACAATCATGAATAGCCTGAAAACGTATTTGTAAAGTGCCAGTTGAAATTTTGATATGATTTCTTGATGGACCGTAAATCTTCCTAACTTCCTATGTACCCATATATACTGTATCAGTTTGAAACAAAGCGACTAGAAGTAACTATCGCAAGGGAAGTGCTGCGGCAAAACAATTTGAAACAATGACTATGTCCCAAAGGTTCCTGGCGAAACACCAAAGCATCGACAATTCATATGTATTAATGTTACAAAGACTCGTGGTCTATATATATTTGTACCAAAAATGCAAAGAAATCTAAATATGTTCCATGATTTATTAATAATACCGAACCCTCCAACTCTACCAAACATAAAATCCGGAACATAAATGACTATTGTTTAGGACTTATTTCTGAGTTTTATTCATATATTTAATATTCTCCAATTGAAAATGCTGAAAATGACAATTAAAGGAACTGAATGAATGACGCATGTAATATTCATTATTCAATATATAATAATAATTATATAATTTAATTTTATATATTATTCATTTATATAATAATACTATTAATAATGAAAACTTTATTAAATTGAAGCCTGATAGAAAATTGTAATAATGAAATCGACACTTCAATGCAGTATCCGGACCAGACTATACGACTACACCGCTTTCGAGACTGAAAACTTCAATATCCATTAACTCACACGTAAATCTTTTACAATTTATTCTTTGTTGTACAAATTAATCAAATGAGCATAGCCTTTCAGCATTCATATGTAAGTACTGCGGAATGACCTGAGTTTTTTTTTCATTTTCGTTTTGTTCGAGTGTTTCGGAACAAATTTTGCATCAGATCGGTCAGTTTAATTCTATAATCTAGCTATATGTTAGATGACATAAGTTCACAGTCATACGAGATAGTTTGGATTTTTGGTTGGATGATCAATTTGACATTTGTTTTTCTGATATGTATTAAAAGTAAATTTCTGTTTAGGCACTGAAAACCACTCAAAAGCTAAGGAAAGTTGAATAAACTGCAACTATAGTTAAAATACAACAAAGTGCGGGTTCAATAGAGTGTAGCTTTCCTAACATTTTACAAACAATCTTTATTACAAAGGAGCAAAACTCCATGACAGTTTTACTTGAACTACTGCTGCCCTGACGTGACCCTTTGGCTTTGGCTTTGTAAAGTGAACATGCTGTTTGTCATGCCCGCACTAATAAAACAAAATATTTCTCATGATCAATACCAAATCTATCCAGATCTCTAGACTTTGCCTTTTTGGTCTAGCATCTTTGGGCCTGGAATTATTGAGATCACATGTCGGATAAAAGCACCACATCTTTCTAAAAGGTATCTAATCTATAAGGATAACAGAAATAGTGATTTTTGGCTACTTATATATATGAAAGACCATTGGCGATAGGGGCGCACATGAGGGGGGGGGGGGG